AAACAGAATTTAAGTTTTACATATATTTTATATTTTTAAATTTTTTCTAGTAGTGAAAGTTACAACATCTTACACTTCTTCCCATAGAGCATGTCGAAGGGAGGTCGGTCTATGCTGGCGTGGTAGCCGTTGTTATACCAGAATTCTTCTAATGGAAGATACGTATTCCAACTACCATAGAAATCCAAAACACATGCACGAAGCATGTCCTCGAGATTCTAAATCGTCCTCTCACTATGTTTATTTTTCTACGGGTGGAAAACGGTGTTGAAGTGTAGACGAGTATCCATCTCGTCATGGAATCGCTTCCAAAATCGAGAAGTAAAACAAACATCTCGGTCTGACACCACCGAGACAGGCACTCCATGTTGTGCCACTACCTCTCGCACATAAATCTTGGCCAGCTTCTCGGCCGATATGCTCTCTTGGATGGGGATAAAATGAGCATTCTTGGTCAATGGATCCACAATGACCCATTTCGAATCAACCCCACGTGCGGTCCTGGGAAGCTTAGTAATGAAATCCATAGTAATGTACTCCCATTTCTACACAAGAATATCTAACGGCTGAGTTTTTCCATGAGGCCTCTACTGCTTTGCGTTGACCTTCTTGCAGGTCAGGCACCTCTCAACGTACCAAGCTACATCCCTCTTCATATAGGACCACCAGTAATCATGACGAAGATCAATATAGATCTTCGTCGCCTCGAGATGGGTGGAAAACCTGGACTTGTGGGCATTATCCATCAGAATCTGCACCACTTCGCCCCATACGGTACCCAAACCCTACCTTTCAGTGTAAACAACCCACGGTTGTCATAATTAAAGGAGGTTACCTAGCCTATGATCTGCTCGCACTTCCGGCGCTCCTCCTTTAGAGTGTCAACAACCCACGGTTGTCGTAATTAAAGGAGGTCACCTAGCCTATGATCCGCTCACACTTCCAGCGCTCCTCCTTTAGGCCCTCAACCTGTGCCTCTCTAATTTGCTTTAACAAAAGGGAAATCATTGTCATCCTCAGATAGATGTCTCGAATCGGAGTCGTTACCACCTTGCAGCTTAGGGCACTGGCCACTACGTTGGCCTTGCCTTGGTGGTAAAGCATCTCGCAATCGTATTCCTTTAACATATCTAACCTCCAACGCTGCCTCATGTTCAAATTCAGCTAATCCATGAGATACCTCAAACTCTTGTGGTCCGTGTAAATGGTACAACGGACCCCATAGAGGTAATTCCGCCAAATCTTGAGGGTGAAAACCACAACCCCTAACTCTAAATCATGTATTGGATAGTTATCCTCGTGAGGCTTCAACTGCCTTGAAGCATAAGCTATCAAGTGACCCCGCTGCATCAATATCGCACCCATGTATATGATATAAGCGTCATAGTAAACCACGAAGTCATCAACGCCCTACAGCAAAGACAGAATCGGTGCCTCACATAACCGTTGTCTGAGAGTCTCGAAGGCTGCCTGCTGCTCAAGCCCCCAACGGAAGGTCACCGACTTTTTGGTCAGTCAGGTCAAAGGAAAGACGATCTTGCAGAAGTCCTGAATAAATCTCCAGTAATAACCCGCTAAACCTAGGAAACTCAAAATATCAATTAGAGACCTTGGAATCCCCTACTGCATCACGGCCTCTATCTTGCCCTGATCGACCAGAATACCCTTCTGGTTGATAAGGTGCCCTAGGAATTACACCTCGCGTATCAAGAACTCACACTTAGAGAACATTGCAAAAAGTCTATCCCTCCTCAGAGTCTCTAGCACCTCCCTCAGGTGCCCTTCATGCTGCTCTTGAGTCTTGGAATAGACCAAGATATCATTGATGAAGACTATCACAGACCGATCTAGCATCGGTCTACACACACACTTCATTAGGTCCATGAATGCGGATGGAGCATTAGTGAGCCCAAACAGCATCACCACAAGATGGAAATAACACACCAAAAAGAAAGAAGGGAAGACCACAAAACTTACAATTTCAAACGCCAAATGGTTCATTAGAAGGTGTGATTAAACTTGTTGTTCTCTTTTTAGATCTTTAATCATCTAGTAAACAAAAAAAATTATGATGCTTTATTAGGGTTAATGGGAATGCGACTTAACCGTGTAAACTTTATATGAGTGTTTCTTTTATGCTTAACATAGAAAGAAGTTATAATAGAGAAAATTCGGGAATTGAGCCTTTCCGCTTTTAGTCCCAAATATTTTATGAATTTGGCCTTATTATTGTTTCCTTTATTTTTTGCATTCAATTTCCCCAATACGGTTATCTTTTGGTACATAGACTTTTTTTCTCTAGGGTACTACAGTTATAAATGAGAGTATTTTGGTGGATTATAATGTGTGTATTCTAATATAGCTCGAGATTTTGATTGTGCATTTGATTTTTTTTAACAGGTAGCTTTTGGGATTCATGTTTTAGAATTGTTATGTCTGCAGCCAGGGAGCATCAACTCTTATAACTTAATTTCAATGGCTATTTGTATGTCTCACTATTCTTTATGTTATTGCATTTGAAATTACCACATTAAGTGAATTTATTTTTCTAGATATAGAAAAATAAATGAGATATCAAATATTTTATAGAGATAAATTCACAAAAAAATTCTCATTTTTATGTATTCACATATCGTATATTCACAAGTGAATATAATGTTGCATACTCACATGTTAACAATACATGATATATTCACATATCACCTAAAATTATTGTTTTTACAACCAAAGCTATGTGTTTGATTGCTTTGTTGAAACAATCATTTTGTTTTCCTGTTTGCTCACAATAAGTTACTTATTTGAGCATTTTTAAAAGCACAACAGTTTAATTTATATGTAAATCACACATGAATTACATATGAATTACATGTGATTTAGCACGAGTGAACACGTATGAATTACACGTGATTCAAATGTAAGTAACATGTAATTCACATATGAATTACATGTGGTTCACATGTAAATCACATATAATTCACATATGAATTACATGTGATTCACATGTAAATCACATGTAATTCACATATGAATCACATGTGGTTCACATGTAATTCATATAAGAATCACATGTGATTCACATATGAATTACATGTGATTCACATGTAAATCATAAGTGAACACATATGAATTACATGTGATTCAAATGTAGATAACATGTAATTCACATATGAATTACATGTGATTCACATGTAAATCACATCTAATTCACATAATAATCACATGTGATTCACATTTAAATCACAAGTGAATTACATATGAATCAAATATGATTCACATATAAATTACAAGTGAATCACATATGAATTACGTCTATATGCACACATGCATTTTGTGTGGGTGTTCTTCGCTATTTTTTTTTTTAATTTCTTGTGATTTTCACATTTAAATCTTAAAAGATATAGTCACATGTGAATATCACATTATATAATCACATGTGAATAGCACATTATATAAATGAACTAATTAATAAGCCATTAAAATAGGCATACTTGGATGAAACGTTACAAAAAAAAAATAGATAATAAATAAATATATAGTGTATAAGGGAAATAGTCAAAGATATACAAATTCTTATGAAAATGTATAATCATTTTGAACTATAAGTTGGCTACAAAGGACAAACATACAAATTTATAACAAAGCAATAATATATATTTAAAGTCATATATAGATGTATTTGTGTTTAGTGAGTAAAAAACAAAGCAATAATATGTAGCTTTCAAATTATCGAATTAACTTTTATGTCTTCATTTATACTAATTTTTTAGAATGTTCAATCCTAAATATCTTCATACCTACAAAAAGAAAATAGAACAGGTTGAGTTCAAGTATGCTCAATCTTTTAGAATTTTCGTTATTTCATAATTACCAATCCAGATTTGTGAAGTGTATCCTCGGAAATGTAGTTTTTTTTTTAATATAAACTTTTTTTCTAATCAGAAATATATAATCTTGGTACCAAATGTTATAACTCTTCTCTATCTTGTTTATAGAAGGAAAATAAAAAATTTTAATTAAATGGGTTATTGGTTAACATGAACTGCTAAAGATAAAGACATGCAAAAACCGTAAAAAAACAAATAAAAATTCTTCAAGAACAATTAAAGATTCTTAAAGAATAGTTGTATATAGTATAAATTTTGTGTGTAGTCTTTAAGAATGATTATAGATTCTTTTATGTTATAAGAATAATTCATATATGTTTCATGACGTCGTATGCTAAAAACATCTTTTATGTGAATGTATTAAATAAAATATAATATCTGATTTGATTTTTATTAATTAATTTGACATAATTAGTTGCTTAATATATAATTAGTTTTCATTTCTCTCTCTTCATAAAATTTATTATTTGCCTTTATAATTAATTAAATGTAATTATAGAGTAATTGCTAGTCCATATTAGTAACATGTATCTTAATATAATATCCTTTTATTTTTTTTAATTTAAAAGCTATAACTCAGTTACACATTCACACAATAGTTGTGATTCATATTTAATCGTAAAAACGTGAGAACACTACTTTATATTACTATTCTACTAAGAATTTAATATGTATAGTATTGTAGTAATTATAATATAAATATATTTAATTTTATATTGGTATTCTATATATATATATATATATATATATATATATATATATTATATATATATATATATATATATATATATATATATATATATATATATATATATATATATATATATATATATATATATGTTTAATAGTGTATCTGCGGTCTCTTCTCCAACCAAGGTTCTTTATCTTAGATTCTTAGTACCAATAAATTGTTAATTTGGGGAGAAAGTACGGTAATCATCGGTGTTACTTAAGTGTGCCCTAAAAATAAGATTCTCACTTCAATGCCACATAACCAATAACCAATAAGAAAGAGGCTCTCTAAACTCCAGCTAAACCATACCCAAACCTTTGCCTTTATTTAAATTAAAGAATTTTCTGTTGATATTTTTTGATAACCTTTTGTTTTAAACGATAATGCATTCCTCAAATCCTTTTCCACAGCTTCCCTCATCCACCGTTGGCTTCTCTCATCCCAATTCTTTCTTTTACCATGAAAAAGATGATGTTCAGTATAACTACCACCGGAAGAACGACGACCCATTTATCTCCGGCGAATTTCTTTTTCATCCCTACAACAGTTCTACTCCTCCCGCAGTTATCGAGAATGTTACTACAATCAAACAAGATTTCGTTAGGCAACAGCAGTTTTCTGAAGGATCAGGGTTGCAGTGTTCTGAAGATCATGATCTTTTAGATTCAGTAATTTCTCCGTACAACAAGAGATTAGCGACCTCGAAGAGAGATGGACATAGTAAGATCTACACAGCTCGAGGCCCAAGGGATCGAAGGGTGAGATTATCCATTGAGATCTCACGAAAGTTCTTCTGTCTTCAAGACTTGCTAGGGTTTGACAAACCAAGCCAGACCCTTGATTGGCTGTTTTCCAAATCCCTCACAGCCATTAACGAGTTGGTTGAAGAAACGAGCTGCTCATCTTCAACAGTCACTGATCAATCCAAACTTACATTTCTGGAAACCATTAATGGCGGATCGGAAAAGAAACCAGTACTACCCAAGTGTGTTAGCATCAAAAAGAAGAAAACGACACGTCGATGCAATAAATCTGGATTTCAGGAAGATCTTGCTAGAGACCAATGTAGGACAGAAGCAAGAGCAAGAGCTAGAGAAAGAACAAGAGAAAAACTGCTTGTTAAAAAGCTTGATGATGACTTAAAGACATTATTTCCTGATTGTTGTGATTCAGGTAACTTTTGGAGTCAAACTGAACCCAAAAATGAGTATAAAGACATATGCAGGGAGTGTATAATGGATCAAGAACCTTCGATGCAATCTAAAACATTCAACCTTTCAAATTAAGAGGATTTCATGAGCATCAAGGTGATCAAACAGTTAAGGATTTAGATCTGAAATAGGTGTGCGTTTCTTTAGTAATTGTTTGCTTGTTTTTTGTTTGCTTTTTGTTTTTTTTTTTTTTTTTTTTTTTTTGGAGGGGTTTAACAGAAAACCATTGGGGGATTTTGATGCAGCTTAGTGGTGGAAGATAAGTTGTATTAAATAATGGTGGAGCTGGGGTAATATTGTAATTGTGTAAGTACATTGTTGTTATTGATTGGTTAATTAATCAATTGGATTGTGATTATGGATGCATTTTATGAGTGCTTCTTGTGGTTCTTAGTTTATCCAATGTTCATCAAATAAATAAATAACCTTTAACCTTAATTTGTTAATGCATGTTATGGTGCTTAAATTTTAAAAAGAAACCATCGTCTTTAATAGAACAAGAAGTAATTCAAAACTAAAGTCTCCAGCTTCATTTTTGAGTGTATAAATCTAATGTGATTATTACTATGTTATCTTCATGATGATCTCTTTCATCTGTTTATTTGCCCTATTAATTCATTATACCACACCTAAAACATTGGGTAGGATTTAACCAACTTTTCATACCTCTTTTGTTACATTTACATTTTTGGACATAATCATTTGGACACCAGACAAAATAGTTCTAATCAGGTTTGTACATTTTATATCATTTGAATCCAAATTTGTAGTACTAAACCTTTCAAAAAAATTATCTCTAGTAGGAGATTTTGTCCTGTTCTTTCCTCTTCATACTTATTGTATGTATTAAAGTTAATATAATTAATTTCACTTATTGTACGTATTAAATTTAGTATAATTTCATTTGTTTATTCTAAGAGCAAGAGGTATACCTTCGCCACACCTCTTGTTTTTCCCCACCAACATCATATTTCTGATCATTATCTCATCGTAGGAAATTGTAACCCCTTACTATCTCTTATTTTTCAGATTTTTTTTAAGTATATAAGATTTATAATATAATTTATAAATGAAATCTAAATTATTAAAAATCCATTTGTTTTTCATTAATTCAAACTACTAAAATACTTCAAATTTATGAATAATAATTAAACATAACTAAAAGATAACAATTAGAAAATACATCACCTAAATCCTCGTCCAAATCTAAGTCTGAATCCATGTCCAAATCCTTAATGATAATATGTAGTTGGGTTCTAAAAATATGTTCCATCAAATGAGCACATAAGATTTACGTTATGATGTGTATATCCAAGTACATAACCTTATATTACATACTAATCTACATACTATTACAATAATATTCTATATGTATATGAGAATTGTAATTCAACAAAACTTTCCTCTTTAATGTTGTTAGTTGTTCCTATTGTTTGTTAAATTCTTGTTGGTTAATTGAAAACATAATATTCAAAAAAAAAAACATGTGCATTCTATAAGAAAGTCTTTTTGGATCTTTATATCGCTTTCAAATAGATATGTAAAACATGTTGTGTGGTGTGATGTCGGTACAGTAAACAAATTGAGAGAGTTTGATCCTAACTTGACACATTTACTAAATGTGGCATTTCTTGTCAATTAACCTATTTATTTTTGTGTCAAGTTCATATCAGATTTCGGGTTAGAGGTATACTTTGAAATGGATCGTACCATTTAAGGTTGAAATTCTAAACATGTTGAAAAAGTAAGATGTGTGGACGGAAATGAAAAAGTAATATTTGAGAGGCAAATGACTAAATTCATAGTGAGTTTTAGTGGGTAAAAATGAAATGAGTTAGAGTTGGGGAGATGGAGGTGTAAGGTGGGATCATGAGGAGGAAAAAGTGGTTAAGGGAATTATATTTTAAGAAAGAATAGAAAAACTAAAAATAAAATCTTAACTTAGAGGGCAAATTTGTTTCCACATTACCAAAGGACACATCCAAATGTCTTCTTTTACTATGGTTTTGTTTTTGGATCTTTCTATTTAAAGGATTAAATTTTGTGCATAGGGTTAATTTCGATTCATATTCGAGTTGAAATTAACAATCATAACCTTATCTATTTAATTTTTGTTGTGTGCTATGTGAATCGGTTTAATTAAACGGTTTGAAATACCTTATCCAAACATGATTATTTAGGTCGAATTCAACCGTGTTGGTTTTTTCCATATCTACTTTCAAATAGGGGGTTACCTATATATTCTTAGATGAAGAATTAAGTACTTGAAGAAAGGATGTTATAATATGATCAATTAATCATGCAAAAACACAACATTTTCGTGAATCATGAAAACTATATGCCATTTAAATTTTCAAAAAAATCGCTATTAGTATATCATATGCTTATAAGCTTTCATTATTTCTTTTAACATATTTCGTTAAATGTGCAAGTATTTATGAATGTGCGCATGCAAAACAAGTTAAAGTTAAGATGTCGAGAATGATCATATGATTTGGAAGACAGAACATCTAACTATCCAAGTACATAAGCTAGGTGGTGACACTTAGCCACCCAAATCCTTTCTGCAGTCTATCAGTTTTTAGTTGTTAAAATTTCACTATTCATCTTGTAATCAGGAACTTTGATTAGACATTGTACAGCAACATTTTGTCACGTATATCCATCACTGTAGCATTATTGTTTTAGCGAAATAATTGAATTAAAATAAATTAAAACTCGTTGAACGCCCAAAAAAGTAATAATCCTAGATACGATGGCAACCAAGTACTTTTCCATTGGAAACAAAGATTAAGGAGACAGAAAAGACAGAAAACTAATTTCGAAATTAGGTCATTAATTTGCTGAAGTCTTTTTAAATCAGCATTTAATATTTATTTACTTTTTTATTTAACTAATTCTTTGTGAGATTAAATTATATTAGGGTCGAAGAAGGAAAAGTGTGATTGGGAAAGATAAGGAAGATGTGAAGGTTGATGGAATTGCAGAAAGCAGGGTATGATCTCAAACTAGGAACCCTAGATAATTAAGAAAGGTCAAAAGAATAATTTTCAAAAAGAACCTTGAAGTTTGAATGTTTTTGCATATGGAACCCTATGTTTACTGTTCATTCTTGTTAAACCTAATCCTGAGCTATTCTGGCTCACAGATTGACCATTCTAGGTTTATGGTCTGGCTAACTTTCATATCAATTTTACCTTCCACATATCATTTCAAAGGGTTGAAATGTCAATTCTTATGGATCATTTGCTTTACGTAATGCTCCGATCTAAGAATTATCATGAGCTTTTTAAAACCCTATGCAAAAACATGTCATGTGAAAAGAAATAAATAAATAAATTTCTGGTAATTTTATATGACTAGTGATAATAATACCTCATCTTTTTCTTGTATTATTTTTCTTAATAAATGTACGCGCGTTGAATTAGAAACAATTAAAGATGAAAAATAATGTAATTTTAGTTTCTGATGCGTGTCTCTTCTGTACTAAAAGAGAACTTTGATACAGGACTTATACATTAGTTTTTATTAGTTTTTTTTTTAAATATTGGAAATACATTTTACTGATATTGAAATAGGGACTTTAAAAACATGTGGTTTCTTTGGACTAACTTTGATTGTGTATGCTAGTATCCTTCAAAATATTCTTTTGAAATTCAATTTTAAAATACATTAAACAAAAACTTGAAGACATGATTTTATCAAGTGTCTTATAAAAAAATAGGGGTAATAATTATTATATTTTTTTGTAGTTACAGATGATAACATTGAAATGAATTTGATGATGTTAATGGGTAGTACGTTCAAATTATGGATTCAATCACTTTTACCTCACTACAACATAAACGAACATTGGCTAAAAATAATGGAGTAGAAAAGAACTCATGGAACTTAAAAACGTATTTAAAATCAAAGTGCGTGCATATATCGGGTGTTTGGGATTTACTTATTTAAAAACAGAAAACTAACTTAGGTTTTTTAATAGTTTAATAGTTTATTCTATGTTAAAATTATGTTTTTTAAAAAATATTTTGATTATCTCATTTGGTACCAAAACCTAATAAGTTGATAAATTATTTTATAGTTTTTAGGGAGTTAATATCATTGTAGCCTAACCAACTCTTTAGTTTTGTTTAAATGGTCTCTTAGATTAAGTTTTTGATTTCTAGAGGTACAAAGTCCATATTGGCCCGCTTATTTGGTCGGTGTTACCTATTGCATCCGGTTACCTCTCACACCTAACCATTCTTTGTAACAACCAGATATTTTAAATCTATGTAAATTGTAATTCTTTTAAATAAAGAGAAATTTTGTATACTATGTACATTTACATTATCGACCCTCAAAAATACATTGTTCAACAATCTTTATTGGGATGAATAATGTAGTAGATATTTCAACGAGGTTTTCAAAAATATAAAGAACATTAAAATCCGAATTAAAACGAATAAGTTATTATCAATAAAAAATCTACATTAAAACCAGTTAAACTTAGAGATGGCAAAAAAAAAAACCGTATCCGATAGGTACCTGAAACCCTAACCCGATTTGACCGGGTAAATCCTCGAGTTGACCGGGGATGGGGATGGGAATGGAGATGGGTATTACCCGAATATAAAAAGCGGGGATGGGGATGGGGATGGTTCTACCTGTCGGGTACCCATACTCGTACCCGAAACCGGCCCCGATGGTTACCCTATATATATATATATATATATATATATATATATATATATATATATATATATATATATATATATATATATATATATATATATATATATATATATATATATTATTACTTATGTTTTTATTTTTAATAATGCATAAGCAAATTTTCAGTAGACAAAGTAAGGTTTTTTAACAATCAAATGTATAGTTTTGGGAAGAATTTTTATGTCTTTTTTTTGCAAAAAAATGATTTTATTTGTCACCTTGAATGTTATTGTTCGTGTTTGAAAAAATTTAGTAATTATAATGTTTTATATTGTTCTGTTAGTTTTTGTTTTGTTGATTAATATATAATTATAAGTTGTTTTTCATAAAAGTTCAAAACTTTGTAACAGGGAAAAATC